GAATGACTCCTGCAGAAGAGCGGGACAGCTGCTGCTGGAGTGGGGACAGCCACGCCCAAGCCTCTCTCCCAGTCAGCAGCATTCGCAGACTGTGGAGCGAGAACCAGGCCTCACAAGGGGGTGGGCCCTGCCTGGAAACCATGTCATTTTCATTGCTTTGTTGGTTGGGTTTTATTCTTTCATTTTGTTTGATTATATTAAATCTGCAGCCATGAACAACTGTTCCAAAGATAGCAAGATGTGTTATGGTAGCCATTCTGGACTTACTGTGAGCTTGTTTTGAAGTCCTTTACTGCAGTCATTGTTTTGTGTTTGTTGTTTCTGCTCTATTCTGTTGTTTGATTTTTACCAGGTCCAAAGGTATCTGCAGCTATTTTGAAGATGATAGAGGCATTATGGTAACTATTGCTGATTTTCTAAGTTTTAAAGACCTGTATCACTTATACTGGTTTATCTTGATCGGTTTTGTTCTGTTTTATTTTCCTTGGTTTTATCCTCTTTTTAGGCCAGGGATTTAACTCAGCATTATAAGATCTGTCTGGCAAGTGTGAGGTCCTGAGTTTGATCCCTGATACAAAAAACATAAAATAAAATAAAATTTTAAAAAATAAAGAAGAAGAAGACGAAAAAGAGCAAGGACAAGATGCTGCAAGGCTCATGAAACAGCCACCTGACAGAGGCAAACTCTTGCAAGCTCTAATTCCCTTCTAATGAAGGGGCAGTGTCTTCCCAATCAAAAGCAGAGACTGGGAGACGAGATGGGAAACCTCACCCAATTAGATGCAAAGCAAGAAGGTAGAAAAAGTACAAAGTAAAAGTCCTCTGTGCCAAATACAGAAGAGTTGGCCACTCTACTGTTGGAGTGGGTCTTTGGTTAAGAAAAGGTTTCAGGAGACACAGGGACATATTAGAGTGTAGGTAGCAACATAACTACATGCAGCAGGCCTATCCTGTACCAGTAAATTTTACTTTAGTGCAATAGCCAGCTGGGCATGTCACTACCTTCCCCTGAGGGACACTGGAAAGCAGTTTATGTGATTATCCACTTGCTGTGTCAAACAATGAGGTGTGTGAGCAAGTGCAAAAGTCTCAAAATGGGATTTTCACCCACGTTGTGCTCCATCTAACTGCTTTTGTGTGTTTATTCAAGCATCAAAGAGGGTTCAATAATCCCCCATTACTCCAGGATTTGTCTTTTTAAAAGCTTTCTTTTGATTTTTCTGGTGGAAATAGCCCAGTTCTGTACAATGGCATGTGAAAACTATATCTTGGAGGAGGTCACAAGTGAATGAATCATCAGATTACTCATGCATGAGTGATGAAGATGATCCATTATGACAAAACACTTTCATAACAGAAGAGTGTTGTGGATGGATGGATGTCGATGAAGAGGAGGAAGAGGACTTTGAAATTGGCCATGTGAGTCAAACTTCCTGGGACAGTGAAGTGGAGCAAAGATCAACTGATACTGATAGCGACCTCCTTTGTTAAGATGACAAAACAATGTGAATACATATTTGACTAGTGAAAACGTTGCAAAATGGCCACATAACCAAATGAAATGATCTAATGTTAATACTAAGTCCAAAATATAGTGAGGGACTTGGCAAGAGTGAAATGTATTGGACGAATGCTGATACTGCTATTCAAAGTTGGAAATTTTAACACATGAAATGTTACAAGATTCTGTGAAATATACAGAGGTTAAAATTCAAGTAAAGTGTTCTCTATGCACCATTAGCCATATTCAAAAATATTTTATGACATGGTGCTGAACTGAAAGCATTTATGGATCTGTGTGCTTAGGAGGGATTTCTCATAGTGATTGCAGGAATGTAAAGGCCTCATGGAAAATGATGGGTCAACTATGGCATAATGCATGCCCTTGTGCATGTGAGGACTTTTTATGCTTTCAATTTAGACATTTAGCCTTGAACTTAGCCACAAGGTGTTTATTCATAGAATAATAAACCAGATGATGTTATGAACAGAAATGTTCTTATGGTTTGGGACTACAGTTCATATGAGATTATTTACAGCAGAGAAAAATCCAGCTTTTCTTGTCAGTGAATTATGTGAAGTACTGTGGAGTGCACTGGTGAGCTGACAGGTGAACAGGCACACACAGCTTCCTAGATCCACAATGATAAGAGGAAAACAAAAAGATCTCAACTGTGTCCTACAAGAAAATACAGGAAAACAAAACATGCTATCAGTGGAAGTGTCCCTCGTGTATGGAACATGCAAGACTGCCTTGGGTATGACAAGTGCAAAGACTGCTTTGGATATGACAGTTGAAGCAAAGCTTATTTATGTGGTAGATTTTTGTTTCTGTTTACATTGCAGTTCACATAGGTTTCTATTTTTGATGTTATCTTTGATGTGAAAATATATTGATGTGTATTCTTTTTTTTTTTTTTTTTTTTGTCTTTTTCATTTTTTTATCGGTACCGGGGATTGAACTCACGACTGCCTACTTGCAAGGCAGGTGCTTATGGTGCTGAGCTAAACCCCCAGCCCCATTGATGTGTATTCTAAAGGCACAACACACAGTAAGAATTTAAGAACTTCTTTTGATATTTTATGTTCCTGTTGGCTACACACTCTATAGCACAATAACCTTGACAAAACAGCAAAACCATTGAGATATCAAGTACATCCTACAAAAAGAGTAGGACAGCAAAACGTGTGCTCCCAGTGTGAGTATTATGTGTCTATGGAATACGCTGTGGCCATGTGCACAGACTGATTTAGATGTGATAATTGAAGTGAAGATTACTTTTTTGTAAATTGCTGTTGGTATTTTCAGTGTAATTTGTATAGTAATATTTTTGTTATTTTTTGTAGACTTTATGCCAAAAAATTGTTGATGTTTTAAATTTTGATGCTTTATTATAAACACTCAATAAATATTAAAAATTCAATACTTTACATTTTTTTGTTTTTTTTCCTGGTAAGCCACTGTGTAATATAACAACACTTATAAAAGTAAAGTTAATAACTCATCAATAGAAATATTCTAAAGAATGAGTGTGTGTCTGGTAAACCTATGTTTCTGCACCTTTATGACAAAGTTAGTGTTATGCTCCTGAAATAGTCAAGACCAGGAAAGTTTGCAGGGATGCTGTTCACAGTGTCATCATCTAACCTTGAAGACTCCTCTGGAGGTTTCACCTACATCCTGCCATGCAGACAAGCTCTCTATCTACAGTTGCCAAATCCTGGGAGGCAACACACCTCCTGCAACTGGAGTTCAGTATTCTGTCTCTGAGGTGAACATCAAGACGGTCATACATGTGCCAGGCCCTGGGAGAACTCCTGCTCGTCCTCTGAGAGTTCAGGGAAATCCCTGGGCACTGAGATCACTGCCCCTCTAAGCCAGGGGCTCCCAGTCACTTCTCCTGTTTCTACACTAACAGTGTCCAACAATCTGACAGTTTCAAGGCCAGGGAAGCTAGAGAGGCCTTGCAGCCAGGCCATCCACAGTGTGTTTCAGACAGGACTGGCTGGGCTCCAGCGAGGGAAGTGGTTGCCCTGAAGTCCGGGAGAGTGGTTTTGAAAGAGAGTTTTGTAGGATATATCACCTGGGTTGGATGTTGCTTTCTTTTATGTGTTGAAATACCTCACTCCAAGCTCTCCTGGTCTTAATGGTTTGTGTTGAGAAGTGTGCTGTATTTCTATTGGTTTTACATTTATAAGTGATTCCTTGCTTTTCTTTATGAGGTTATAAGATTCTGTTCTCACCTTGGACTTCCCAGGTATTGACTGTCATATGTCATGGGGAGATCCTTTTCTGATTGTGGCTACTTGGGGTTTCATCTGTCTTTCTTATCTGCATGTCAAGTTACTTCCCCATATTCAGAAAGTTTTCTGTTATTGTTTCTGTCACAGATTTTTATGCCATCTGTGCTGTCTTGTGGTTTTTCACTTATTCTAGTTAGTTGTCTGTGTACCATCTAATAGCTGTTGGATCTACTGTCCATGTTCCAGTTTTGTAAGGTGTCCCTGAGTATTTGGGCACTGACACCAGCCTTGTCTTCTAACTCCAGGGCTCTGTCCTTGTGGTCATTTCTGTTGCCCACACTTTGGATACAAGTTTAATTCTCTAGGATTTCTGTTTGGTACCATTTATGGACTCAAATTCATTGCTAAGTCACTCATTTATGTTGTGTATCATGTCTTTTTTTTAGCTCAGGTAATTTTGTAGTAGTGTATTTTGTAAATGTACTCATCATTCTGTTGAATTTAAGCTTTTATCACCTTGAATAATTCAGATGACAATTCACTGTCACTACTGTGGAAATCTCTTTAGTTAGTGCTTTTCAGTGATGCTCTAAGAGGTGTTTCTCTCCATTGTTTAAGTTTTAAGAACACTTGTGTCTGTTCTTTTCAAGGGTATTGATGTGTAGTTATCTCTCTGATACTTGTGTCTGCTCTGAATAATCACAATAACAGTGACCTCATAAACTGGGAAATTTTGCTCCTCAAATTCTTATGACAGTGTATAAAACTGATACTTCTTCTACCTTCAGTGTTTGGTAAAATTCAGCAGTGAAGCTAATCAAGCCTGAAGTTACTCAGAAAGGTCTAACGAATTCAGTGTCTTCCATGGAAATGAGGCACAGGCCCATAGACTTGGGCCCTTCTTGTCTTTCAGGAAATTTTTTACTTGCATCAAAGCTTTCAAACATATCCGCTAACATTCTCTCCTTTGTTTTAGGTTATATTTTTGGCCCTGGGAATTGAACTCAGGGCCTTGCGCTTGCCGGGCAGGCACTTTGTCACTGAGCTCCATTCCCATGCTTCCTCTTAACTGTTTATTCTTTCAGGTTCTAGGTAAATAGTGTTGTCCCTAGTGTTAATTTCTAAATTTCATCATAGTGAATTTCATCATAGTATTTCATCATAGTGATAGTATTTCATCATAGTGTTCATCATAGTGTTCATCATAGTATTCATCATAGTATTTCATCATAGTGAGAGAAAATTCTCTGCATAATTGAAATTCTTTTAAATTGATTGGGGTTTATTTTGTGACTGTGTTGGAACATTTCCTCCATGTACACTTGACAGCAGTGAATACTGCACTGTTGTTTGGATGGGATGCTTCAGTCAGTGGCAGTTGGTAAAAGTTTGTCCATAACATGCAATCTTTTGATCCCTAAAAATTGTGTTTAATTTTTCTATTAAATTGCGAGGACGTTGAAATGTCTGACTATAATTCTGTATTCAGTTGTCCTTTTATCAGTTTTTTGCACATTTCGAAGCTCTGTGCACATGTGTTCTGAATTCTTACACACTTGTGGTCAATTGGTGTCTTTCTCCTGAAACAACCTGTTTTATTCTTGGGAATGCAGTCTTCACTCAGAAATTGACATTCCCTTATGCTCCTGTTGTCACTGCAACTGCCTTGGGCATTGAACTGGCCAGAGCTTTGTGTATCCTCTTTTGACCAAATTGTACTCTTATCTTCAGAGGGGATTTCTGGTCCACTGAGGTAGAGATAGCAACACGGAAGGAGAAAATTCCCCTTAGGCACACAGTAGAGACTGAAGTGTGACAGGCACATTCCAGTAGAGCACAGGGCCCTGACTGAGCAGAAGTTGGAAGTGAGGTAGTCTACATAGGTAGTTACCAAGTAACAGCCCATGGTATCCATAGCAGAGCTGGGAAATAATTTCCTGTGCAAATCTTGGCAAACACTACCATCAAGAAGATGCAGCATCACATCAGCAGTTCTTGGGCTTAGGGACATCATGACCCTCCTAGTGTGACACCTGGGGTGGGACTATCACCTCTGCAGTGCTCTTGATAGAAACACATCACCATAGTCTCAGCATGAGGGAATGTCAGGCAGGCAGTCAAGGGACCTGTGCACAGGAACAAGGACAGCGTTCCTGGTAGACAGCAGACAGCCACAGATGGGAGGAGACAGCGGTGTCCCGCCACTGCACACAATGTGGAGTCCTAGATAGGTCCTGTAAAAGACAGATGGGAGAAGCCCAGGTGAACTGTCCACTGTACTTAGCAGTACTGCAGGAACGTCCACTTCCTAATGTCACTCATCGTCCTTCGGATCTCTTACGTTCCTCCTGTCTGAAGAAGCCAGGTGATCAGTGTATAGGAACTCAATGACCTTCTTAAAATCTGAAACTATTTCTACATAAAAGGAAAATAAAGCTAATAAGCAGCTTCTTTGTAGGTGCAATGGTTAATCTCACCTGACAGTCTGTGCTTTGAAATTGGTGATGAATGCAAATCACTGCCCTGTGTTCACTCAGCTGGGTTCCAGCCTGTCTTCCAGCTCTGTTTTACCCACCCTTTGTTTGCTCTTCCCTGATTTTCCTCCTCCCTTTGGATTAGTATTCGCGCCTCTCACCCTGCTGAGCCTCTATCCTGTTGCATGTATGTTGCTGCCTTCCAGCGTGTGCCATTGCTCAGCCAGGCCTCCCTTCAGCAGCGACCCACCAGACCACGTGTGTGCAGGGAAACAGTGCGACATTTCTGCCTTCCCAGGCTGTGTGCTGCTGTTTCCTACATTTTATTTCTGTGCTCACCGTGGACCTCACTGTACCTGGCCATTATTCTTCTTTCCATTGGGACAGAAGGTGCCTAACATGAACTCACCCTCATTGCCCTCAAGTGCACAGCCCCTGGCATTGGGCACCTCAGGGTGCTGGGTGACCATCTCTGCCTGCACCTCCACAGGGCTGCTATCCTCTATGAAGTGTTGGTTTGACTTCATGAGTAATTGGGAGAATGATAAACTTGAGTTTTTATGACCACCACTTGTTCCATTCCTGGTGATCCTCACACTCATATCACTGCCTTCCTGGGAAGCTTTCCTGTCATCTCCCTTGCTGAGCAGCTCTGCTGAGGAGGGACACCCTGGCCACCCATGTGTGTGAGGCCATCACAAGAGGCCTCTGTGCTGACAGCAGCAGCTGGCAGGCCTGGGAGATATATATCTGTGTGACACATGTGTGAGTCAGAATCATTGCCCTGAGAGAAGGGGACCAGACACAGACCACACACACTGTGAACCATGTTCCTGAGACTCAAAAGGGAAAGCAATTTAACTATGAATAGACCCATGGGAGCCTGGGCTGACTGTTCAAAACCAGGGGCTGGCTCCAGGGTCAAAACCCTATCCCTGTGTGAGTGCTCGGCCACTGGTGCCCAGCCTAGAGCTGGCCTGGGCTGAAAGAGGGAGCTGGGACAGATCAGCACTGCCTGGCTTCCTTCCATGGTGCCTGGGTCGGGTGTTTGCCTGTGTCCTTGCAGTGTCCGTGCTGTTAAATGACAGGCCTTCCTCACCATCCCTGAGAGCTTCCCCACTCCCCAGCCTGTGTGAGTTTATCTGGGGGTGCTGGTCAGACGCTGAGCTGCTGTCGGGGTGGAAAAGTAATAGCAAGAAAATATAGGAGCCTTGGGTTTTGTGAGACTTTTCTGACCCTTCTTTCTCTGGCCCTGGAGCAACAATTCCCAGTGAGGCCCCATCTCACCCCCTTGCCTGGGGAGTTCTGGTTTGCGTTGTGGAGACCCAGGGGGTGGGAAGTGGGCTCAGCATCCTGCAGGTGGAGGCCCACGATGCTGCTAACCATCCTGCCATCCCGTGGAGGCCTGGCTGAGATCCCCCACGGGGACCAGAACCTTACTAACTATAGCACAACCAGACAGAGCACTGCCCCACTCCAATCCTGTGGCCTGCTGTGGGAGGATGAGGTCCAGTGGGCTGGGGTCTAAGTGAGATCACAGGAAATGGAGGAAGTGGATCACCTCAGAAAGACAGGAGCACCTGTGGCAGAAGTGGGAACCAAGCATTTCCAGGACAGTCCACACTGTGCAGGTCATCGGGGTGTCAAAGTGAAACACACCAGCTCTTATACAAAATCTGATGAGTCCTTCCCTGTGACCATGGCCATGATGGCTCCCTGTAATCCTCTCCCTCCTGCCTCCCTAGGAGGAGCCACTGTTACTCAAAGCTGGCTATTGTGCCCCTGGATAAGAGGCAGCTGCTGAAGCCAGAGCCTAGTACCCTTCCATCTGCAGCTTGGAGTGAGAGTGGCTCCTCCCAGGATCAGCAGACTGGGACCCTCCCTGGTCCAGTTTTTGTGGGCTAAAGCTGGGTCCTTGGTGTGTCATATCCTGGAAGGATGTGGACCAGGAAGGTCACAGGCAGCAACTGTCATGGTATCACTCCCCAGGGTCTGCATGATGAGGATCACAGGGTGCCAGGGCATCACACTGCCCACATGGTGCTCACCACACAGGTGGTTCAGAGTAAGAGTCCTGTAGCCTCCAAGCTGGCTGTGCTCAGACCCCTCCTCGGTGTACTCCAGGCTCTCCAGGCACAGGAGTGCCCAGGACAGCATACAGACCTCCGCAGCGGGAATCAAGTGGAGAGCCTGTGGCTAGCCACGGAGCCCCTGACACCTGGGTGGAGCACAGGAGTTTCTAGTAGCTCCTGAGGAATGGGAGCAGGTCCTGCCACACTGTGCAAACTCAAACAGAGCCAGGCCACACCAGCAGAGGCCCAAGCAGTCCCACAACATGTAGCTGGCTGAACAAGATGACCAGGATAGCCAGGGGTTCTCAACCCGGGCTTGAGGGTCACCCAGCTGCTTGTGGAGATGCCAGGGATGGTGAGGACAGGCCAGGGGTGCTGCACAGTCTCATGCAAAGCTAGGGTGGTTTAGCCAAAATGCCCACAGTACCCAGTTGAGAAGCCATGCCTTATACCTCATGCTGGCAATGAATTTTGGGGTTTGCTATGGGGGAAAAAATAACAAAAGCAAAGAAAACTTTCCACTGAAAAACAAGGATAAAACCTTTCTGAGAAATGAGTAAACTGTGGGAGGCAGGGTCATGGGTGGGGAATGGGATGGCACCCTGAGCAGACTCTGGGGGTCCCACATTGGCCAAGGCCAGGGCAGAGTGGCAGAAAGCCCCAGGAAGGGAAGAGGGCGGGTATCAGCCTTTGAGTATCTCAGTGGCCAAGGCCTATATCAGCCTTTGACGGTCTCACAGGCCATCAGGAAGGAAAGTTCCCTGCAACAACTCTCCAGAGGCTCTTCCCCCAGTGGAAGCTGGCTGGCTAGACACCCTTGTGAGAGCCATGTGGCTGCTGGGTCACGTGGCCTCATCTTGTACTCCACTGCCAGTGCTACAGCAGGAGGCAGCTATGGCCAGGCTCCTACCAGCTTCTAAGATGTGGCACAGAAAGATTCTGAGCACACTGCACTTGCCACCCATGTAACTGTCATCCGGGTAGGCCTGGCTTAGCTTCCTGTGTTGGGGCTGCTTGGTTTTGTTTGTTTATTTGTTTTTGTTTTTGGTAATGTCATTGAACTCACAGCCTCACACTTTCCAGGCAGAAGCTTGAACCACAGAGCTAAACCCCTGGCCCACTGCGCTCCTTGTTGAGGCTGGAGCACTGGGACATGCTGGCCTGCAAAACAGCCTTCTGCTTCTTGAGCTGCGCTGGAACAGAGAGGGTGACAGGCAAGTGAGGGGGTCACTGTTGGGGAGAGCAGTCATGGCAGGAGACACAGATGACCATGGCCTTCTCTCGGGGCTGATACTGGCCTACATCACAATCTACCAGATGGAGACGTGGGCAGGACACAGGGCAGGCCAGGCTGCATCCAGAGCAGGCTCAGTTTGGGCAGGCAGAGAGGTCAAGGCTGGTAAGGTCAGGCAGGGAAGCAGAGCTCAGTCAGGTGTTTCTGCAGAGAGGACAGAGGTGGGGACAGCACTTGTCTCTGGGGAGTGATCTGGGCTGCACCCTCAGGACCAGTGGCAAAGGATCATGGTGAGGGCAAAGTTCTTGACCTCGGATCCTGCTGGCTTTTTTTTTTTTTTTTTTGTCTTTTTCATTTTTTTTTTATCGGTACCGGGGATCGAACTCACGCCCGCCTGCTTGCAAGGCAGGTGCTTATGCCGCTGAGCTAAACCCCCAGCCCCTCCTGCTGGCTTTTGTCCATGGGTGACTGACCAGCAAGGAAGTGTCCCTAGGCAGGGGCTGTGCTCACACAGGCAGGACTGTGTCCCCAGGGAAGCGGGTTCTCCTTTCCCCTTCCCAGCCCCTCACCTGGTATTGCTGTCCCTCCAAGTGGCTGTGGAGGCCAGAAAGGACAAGAGGCACCTCTCCTGCGGTCAGAGACAGAAAGGCCAAGTCAGGAGCCCAGGTGGCCTGGGGAATCCAGGAGACATGAGGGATGATATCTCCTCCCTGTGCTTCTATCCATTGCTTCTCCATCTCCCACACTTCTTCCACAGACTCCCACAGGTCATTGGTGAACTTCTGGCTTGCAGGTAGGGGTGTTGGAGGTGATTCACACTCTGGGGTCTTCCCCGGCCATGGCAGTTGTGAGCCAGATGCTATTGGGGTAGTCTGTAAGGGAGAGGGGTGGGCAGGGTGCAGTACATCCATGAAGTGGCCATGCTGGTCACAGGGCCTGGGGCATGGTAGCCTTAGAGCCTAGTGCTCTAAGCTCTGCCTCAGCAGCAGAATCAGGGTGAGCATGGATGGTCACACGTCCCTGACCTGGGCCCTGCCTGCACACCAAGTGAGGGTGACAGCCCAGTGCAAGGGAAAGTGGCCAGGCCCGCCTGAGGGTCAGGAAGATGGCCTTCACCTTGGGACCCTGGCCCACTGCCAGGATCTGACTACCAGAGCAGGACAGAGAGGGTGGGACATCATCCCATCACTCAGGCAGTGCTGGACCACAGGCTGGGAGTTGTTCTCCCCTGAGTGTTCTCCCTGAGCTCTTGGAACACCCCGTGGTGCCTTCCTAGTGCCATCTGGACTTTGGCTCTCGTCATGGGAATCCCCTGGCTGAGCATCTCCTGCTGGATATGTTGGAGGTCTTGGCCCAGTGGGCCTGCAAGCCACTGTGGTGTGCTGGATATGTGTACCAGTCCATTTGCACCACGGCTTTCCTGCTGCCACATAGGAAGGGACTCCAGGGACACCAAGCCTTCTGATTTTTCGACTGAAGTACGAGATGTTTAAATGTTGATGTGAAGATTTAAATATGGGCTCAACCGTGCTCCAGGATTTGGGGTTGTGCCTGGGAACCTGGGACCCATGGCCAGTCACACTGTCAGCTGCTTGCTGTACTGAGGTGGGCACAGAGTGGAGGAAGATGCCTCAGGGCAGGGGACACAGGTACCCTCAGCACAGATTCACAATGGTTTTGGAAGAGCAAGATCTGTAGGCCGTACAAGGACTGCTGGAAGCTGTATGTCATCAAGTTCTTTTTCTGAGAGGTCTTAGTGACCTGAGGCACACTAAGTCTCAGCACTCCAAGGATTGCAGGGCACCCGGGAACCTCGATCAGGCCCAGAGGCCAGCAGTCTGGGCTCAGCTGATCTGGGCAGACACTATGCTGGGGGCAGTGCTTCCTATCCATCTGAGTCTCAGTGTCATTCCAGCTGGCACCTCAGCCCCATGGTACAGCAAAGAGATGCTGCCATGGCTGTGCATGGCCCCCTTAGGGCCCTGTCAAGCAGGAAGTGCCTGTCCTCCTGGACGGGCAGTAAGGGCCCTTGCTCTTTAAAGAACTAACCCTGGAGAGAAGCCAGATCACGCACAGGCCCAGCATGAGCCTTCCCTGGGCTGGGGAACAGTTGCCATGCCTGCACCCGAGACCCTCACAGACCTCAGTTTTGTTTGCAGGAGAGAAATCTCTGGTCCTCCTCTGGTCCAGGGGGCAGGGCTCATGTGAGCCAATCAGAACACACTGTCCCTAGGAGCCACAGCAATTGGCTGGGGGCTGAGAGCAGCAGGCCCCTTCTGAGAAGCTCACCAGGCTCAGGCACCCTACTGTCACTGCAGTGGTGCTGCCCTGAAACCTGCAGCCAACCTGCCAGATGGGGGGCCCTGCACTAGGGGACCCATCAGGAAGGCCTGGGCCTGCCTTGGGGAGCACCTTGGCTCTCAAAGGACACAGACCTACTGTTAGGAGACAGGGCAAAGGGGACTGGTGTACCCTGGTGCCTGAGAATGGAAGTGTGAAGGCAGAAGTAGGACGGAAGAGGACTGGAGGGGATCTGGATGTTTTGCTGGGGCACCACGGATGGGGACAGAGATGGGGACATGCCTCAATCTGCCAGGCTAGTGGGGGTCACAGAGCAGGCAGCAGTCACAAGTAGCATGATGGAGACAGAGCTAGGAGAAATAGACCCTGGGTCGCAAGGCCAAGAGCAGGCTGTTGCGATGGTGTGGACGCCCACAGAGGCCACCCCAAGGGCTGAAAGCTGTGTCTCCACCACAAGCCTGACCCTTGTGGCTGTGGTCTCAGGGATGCCAGAGGTCAGTACAGGGAACCACGAAGCAGAAAATGCTGGTCACTCATGAACTCAGCAGCCAGAAGTCTGGCTCCCAGAGCACGGGGAACTGGCTAGGGACACGTCAGGACACATGGAGGCTCCCCAGGGTGGGTGGTCAGTGGCCAGAAGGAGAAGCAGAGAGGTACTCACAAGCCAAGCCGGTGATACAGTGATCTGATCTGTGGCAAAACAGCACAGGGACCGATGTTAACGTCCACAATCACCTTGGGACATTGGAGATGTGCACAGCAATGCCCAGCCAGGGCGCCAGGTCCTCAGCTCCACCAGCCTGGATACCAGGGAGTGGCCAAGGTGTAAAGCTCACTGTAGTGCGCTGTCAGGGACAGGGGGCTCAGATCACTAAGGAAAGAGCCTAGAGTTAGCAGAGTTGGGCCATCACTAAGGACCTGAGGGCCTCAAGTGCAACCAGAGCAAACAGCCAGGATTCCTCAAGCCTGCAGGCACTGCTTTGAGTGCCTGGGAGTCCCCCGCCAGCTCTGCCTGCCAGAGGCCAGAATGGTGGGCAGGCGGCCCCATGCCTGAGGGCCAAGCATGTATGGGCTTCTTCCCCACGATCAGCTTCTTCACCTTCTGGGGGCAGCTGGGACATGTGGTCCTCATTTGTCTTCCGCTCCTGCTGCTGGATTCGCTCATAGATCCCAATCAGTGTCTCCTGGGGAATGTCCTCACCATTGTCCACACCTGGGCAGGGACAGCAGCTGGGGATCTGGGTGGCTGGCATGTGAGTGGCAGTAGGTCCACTTGGCCACAGCCCTCAGGTCACCTCCGGTCTCCAGTTTCAAAACCAGATCAGAAGAGCAAGCCTTTCCTGGTTCCCACTGGAGCCACAGCCCATGCAGCCACGCAGCTACAGAGCAGCCCGTGTCATCCCCGCATCCCCCACCTGGAGCAGGCCCAGCACTAGCCACCCTGATCCTCAGGGGACAGAAAGAGGGCGTGCCACCTTCTCAGCTGTGCCAAAGGGCACAATAAGCAACATCTCGATCCCCAACCTCAGCCCCAGTGCTTCCACAAGTGGGAAACTGAGGCTGGGACACAGGAGGCTGTGTGGCTAGGCCCTGAGTTTGGAGCAGAGTCCTGGTTTTGTCCCTTCCTGCAAGGTTAGCCAAGGGCCAGCCCTTTCAGGAGATAGGCAGTGCATGGAGGCCGAGGAGAGGGAGAGCCTTGCTGGCAGGTGCAGAGTGTTCGGCAGGTGAATCTCCGCCCTGCTCCTCTGCCGTCTTCCTCCCACAGGATCTCAGCTCCTGGTTCCCGCACAGCCTTCCCAGGGCGTGCGCCCTCATTCCCACAGGATGCACTAGTGGTCTTGCCTCCCCCTCCTCTCTCCTGCAGCTCACTAGACGAAGGGCTGCAAGATGACTCACTATGGCTTCCACCTGTGTGGCTGACCTCACTGTCATGTCCACAAATGCAAGGAGACATGTGTAATGGACGCTCACTAGGAAACATGGCAGATGGTGGTGGCTGCAGTAGACCCCACAGCAACTCCTCCTTGCCACCTGAGGCTCTTCCCTCTGCCCACACGTGCCCTTCCTGCCTCCTTCATCTCCTCCCTACAGTCACACCCTGACAATTGAAAATGATATCATCAAGCAGCGCACTTGAGAAAGTGCCCAGAGCACTCAGCCTCCTTGAATGTGGGCTGCTTCTCTGCTGTGCAGCACTTACACTGGGGCCACCTTGTGTTGGCTCCCAGGCTAGCAGGCGGCGGCAGCACATGGCCTGCAGGCAGTCTCTGATCCTCCTCTTCACAGCCTTCCAGCCCCACCTCCTACTGCTGACAGGGGCTGGGGTGGTGCAGGAGCTGGAGTGGGAGCCCCTAGGACCAAGCTGGCAGGACACTCTGGAAGTAGCAGGACTAGGTGGGCACGACACACTGCAGATGGGAACTGGGGGACACGGAGCCTCTCCCACCATGATTCCCTGGGGGTTTCATCCCAGGGAGAAAAGTTCAGTGCAAGAAGCAGGCACACTGGCCACCACTTGGAGGGAGAGATGAGGGGTTTGGATCTGTGGAGAATGGTGGCACCTCCTCTATATCTGCAGGCTTTACCTTGAATATGAAACCCGCCCCCCTGGAGCAGGTGGGGCTGTAGCAGCAGGACAGTGGTCATTCAGTGATCATTTTTCTTGAGACTTGCAGAGTCAGTGACCTTCCATGGGTTATACCCCATCCTGGCCATGATGCCTGAGACTGCAGTCTTTATACACTTGGGGAATATTCCCTTTAAAATGTTCTTTTATATAACAATGGCAGTTTTCAGGAACTGGGGGAAAAGAAAAGCACCCCTCCCACAGTCCTTGAAATCCAACACACTCACGTTCTCCACTCAGCTTCCTTTGAGTTGCTTCTGCAACAAGGTCCTGGTGCCCAGGGTTTATGGAGCAGCTGCCATGCCGGGAGGTGGGACACTCTCTCAGGTAAAGCCTGCCCTGCAGCCGCCTCACCAGTGACCCTCTCAAGTGGCTGCCCTCCCCCACTGTCACCAAGCCCTTGGCTGCTGTGGGGGAGCTCCTCCAGTGTCAACTATGATCCCCAGCACCCTCCTCCAGGGGAAGGGCTGGGTCTGCCTAAGAAGAAGCATCTGGCCATGGCACCTAGAGCACCCACCATGCTGAGCTGTGCCCACTCTCACCCTTCTTTTCTGCCCTGAAGTCTCCCCAGAGGACCCTGGCGCTGCCCAATGTGTTTTCTGTCCTGAGTCCTGTACCTGCTGCACCTCATCCTGGATGCCTGGGGCTCTGCTCAGCCTGGGGTGCCAGGATTCCTGAGCACGGAAGGAGAGCCCATTTTGTGCAGGAAAGGGCCATGTGCCAAGGCATTTGGAACTTGTTCCCGGAGTGTGCTGTGCCCTGCACAGGTCAGCTGACTCTGGGGGACTCTGTGGGCATGAAAGACCCACTATCCCTCTGTGTTTGCTGACCAGGGAGGTGAGAGGTCAGCACCTGCTTTCTTTCTCCCATGTTTCTGAGTAGAGGAGATGGTTCCTCATAGACTGCTGTTTCTCTCAAGTCTTACGATGAAACTGATGCTCCTGACAGATGATCACCATTTTGCTGTTTTTCATCCTCCCTGCTCTTGTTTGAGCAGTGGGTGGTGGTAACTGTGTCTGGGAGTTAGGGCAGAGAAGTGATTTCTCTCAGGGCCCTATCAAGGTCACTTTCCTTTAGGATTATATGGTTTTTGCTGTATAAAACAATAAACAATTAAAAAGAGATAAAATTCAGTTATTGGAAACAAATATATCATTCCTCACCATGCACTACATGGTCATGAATCAAGAAAATGCAATGAGATGTTGTTCAATTTCAAAAAATACCATGAAAGCTGGGGATTTAGCTCAGCGGCGTAGGTGCCTCACTGGGAAGCATGAGGTCAGGCATTCAATCCCCAGAACCAATTAAAAAAAAATACTGTGAAAGTTAAATAAGGATCCACATCAACTGAAATCCTATCCAGCAGCAAGGAATACTCAGAAAATGAAATTTAAAAGTAATGTCACAATATGGAATTTGAATGGAGCTAGAGCAATCAGTATAAATTCATATTTATCTTAGTAAAAACTGGCATGAACACATATAAAATTATTTAAAGATGTGCACACAGAGGATTGTGAAAGCACACACACATTCCTGTTAAGAGCCTAGAAGCAACTACTCCCAGGAACAGCGCACACCAAGATCTAGGTTTTCTTACATACTCACCAAGAACAATAAATGGGAGGACTCCTCTTTATTCGTCTGGAAGAGCCTGAACACTGCTCTTCTGTCCTACCAACATGGAACAAGCCAACAGGCCTGGGGTTGTAGCTCAGTGGTAGCAACTTGCCAGCATGCATGAGATCCTGGGTTCTGTCCCCATAACACCTAAACAAAAGCAAAAGCAAAAATAAAACAAAACAACTGAAATGAAGATCCACAAGTCTTGTCTCTGTCAGAAATCTGAGGACTTAAGGCAAACCGTTGCCTCCAAAACTGGGCCGAGAGAGAACACAGAACTTCACAATGTGCTAGTGCATCAGCCTCCATGAAGCTGGTACTGGGATGCAGTCAGAGGACCGTGGAGATTCCCAGCAGACAAGGCTGAGCCTTAACGCCTGACTGCACAGAGGAAAGGATCCATAGACAAGGCAGAATAGAATAAGGGCCTCACTAGTCTCTCTGGCTAACTCTAAATAGAAAGAGTTAAAAAGCTGGCCTAGAGGAATTCCTTGGAAGCAGTTAAAAGAAACTGACATCAAAAGACTTGAAGAAGAGCTGACAGAGCACAAAGGGAGCCAGGGACTTCAAACCAAGGCAGCTGTCCCTCACAACCTCCCATGAGCTGCAAAGGAGGCAAAAGTGGGCATCTATCCTAAAACTCCTATGTAACATACAATGTTCTCACTTTAGGGTCACTACACGACTGCACTAGATACACACAAATCCCCTTGCCTAATTACTAGCTCCAGGAAGTCTGTCTGTGAGGCTCCTCCTAACCAACCCATCAGTCCCAGGCACAAGGCCTGCCAAGGACAAGCAGGCAGTGAGAACACAAAGCCTACCCAGGGGCATGCGCATAGGCACTGGAGCAGGGGCAGGGTGCTGTGACCTGGGGTCCATCTGTGAAGTCCGGAGAGCCAATCAGGAGGTGACCAGTTCCAGGTAGTGACCTGGGAGGGAGGGGCCTTCTCACTGATCAAGGGAAGCTGGGGACAAAGACCTGAGGAATCCATCTTGACGTCCCTTTCCCTTACCTCAAATGGTGCAGCTTTTTGGTTTCTGCTTTTTCTTCCTTACAAATGAATGGGCTTCCCGTTTAAACGTCATCTCTTTAATTCATTATTGGTGCTGAGTGTGCATCACAGCTGACTGCTTCCCGCCTGTTATACGCATGCCTCTGAGGCCTGGCCTGGGCCACAGCTGCCATGTCGCACTGGGCTGGGCTCAAGGCCAAGGCCTGGCTCAAGACCCAGCCAGGCGGACAAAGCCTTGGGGGTACCCAGGCCATCATCTGGAAGTCTCCACAGCTCAGAGGACAAGGATGCAGCATAAGTCTTCCCTTGAGTCCTCCCTGCACAAGTCTGATCAGCAGTGTCTGAGTTGGCAACTACTTCTGTGCAGGGGGCAAATGACATGTAATTTCCTCTTGATTTCCCTGTGGTATAGATGAAGAGCTGTCACCTGCATCTGGACCTAGCAGCACAGCTGGAAGTGTTCTCATTCATGCTGTTCTGGAGAGTTCCCGACAGAGACCAGAGCACAGTGGGGCAGAGGGATGCCCCTTAGGTCAGGTTGCTGGTCCTCTCAGGTAAAATCAACCTCAGACTTCTAGTTTCAAGCAGGTTCTCAAAGTCTCCAAAAGATGCTGTCTGTCATCCACAGTGCCTGACTGCCCCATAGCTTTTCAGCCCTCTGCCAGCTCTCTCTGCTCCCAGTCTCCCCCATAGACTGACATGAAGCATGCAGGTACCACAGACACCCACTGGAAAAATAGAACATGAATTGCCCTGGCACCATGAGACCCTATAAACTTTATGGCCCACACTGCTCAGTCTCTATCTAAGGAAACAAGAAGACAAACACCTCTTCTATGTTCTTTCCATGCCCCCATGCCAGCTCTTCCTGTAGGTGGGAGTGAGGGGCAGTGTCCACTTGGTTGTGTATAAACTGCTGTATCCACCACCAGGACCTAACCTGAGCTCTCTCCTGGCTGAAATGGCAGAAGTCCCAGCAGGGAGCAGGGCAGGAGAGAAGCTGAGCAAGTAACAGGAGGTTTCCGGACACTCCGTCTTACCTCTGCTGAGAGTTCTTCCCTTTTTGGTCAGGCACACGAGGAGCTCTTGGAATCTGAGCTGTCCTTGAGATTCCTTGCTGCCCTACCACAGTCTCTAGCCGGGCTGGGGCTGCTGTGACCTGTGGCTAGCCTGCAACATCCTCTGGAGTCACTGCAGAGAGGCATCCTCCTAGCACTCAGGATTTGGGATGCAGCCTGACATCTGCTCTGACACAAGTACTCCAGGACACAGCTGCTTCCCTTACCCTCTGGCTGGTTTGTACCCTGATCCCAGCTCCCCTGATTTTCAAGCCCCGTAAGCACTCGGCCCTTTGGGGCCACACTCCTGGCCTACAAGAATCAAAATAGATCAATGCTTCTTAAAGTGTGCTCTACAGAGCTCATGGCTCTCAGAAGAGACACAGGGTGTCTCATGAATTAGGGAGAAAACGTAGGCAGGGTTTCACACCAGTTCCAAGTAGAACAGCTCAACTTAACACTTGACTTTAATATTTTCTTTCAAAAATATTAATGCTATCAAATGCTACCTATTTTGTCTCTCTATGTTGTTTTTCAGGTTCTCATTTGTCTTGTGTCTTCTTTATAGTGTTTGTATATCTACCTTTCCATGTAATTAGTTATGCACGTCCTAATCTTTTTGTTCTGACCACCTGGTTGTCACTACAGTCACCAGCACAGTACTTACCAGGCCAAGAGCAGCCCTCAACAGGCACTGACTTTAGGCTGCTGCTGAATGCCAACACCTCCAAGATGCACTAGGTGGTTAGCACCATCAGTAGCAGTTTCCAGCAGTGTCCCTCAAGAGGGAAGGGCTGCAGGGGAAAGTAAGTAACATTTATAAGAGGGGCTTCATGAAGACACATGTACATGTACAATTTTTTCAGTACTGGGACTAAGCCAAGGACCTTGTGCATGGTACAGGTACTCTATCCCTGAGTTACATCGCTGCCCTCAGTTATTTGTTTCTTTGAGACAGAGTCTTGTTATATACCTCAGGTTGCTTTGAACTCATGGTGATCCTCCTGCATCAGCCTGCCAAGCACTGGCAGTACAGGATGACAAGACAGGCATGCACCTGACTAGTGGCACATGTGACTCTTAAATCAACAAATGGAGCACACTTGCTACCCTATCTCACTTGATCTCCAGGGGACCAAACTGATTTCACATTTGACCAATCTTTGGGTAAAACACGCATAACCCAACAGGATATATTGGAAGCTTCCAGGCCCTAAATGTGGGACTAAGGGAACACAGTATGACACTCACTGGCTGAGTACTCAGAAATCTATAGGGCAGCTATAGAAGAAGGACAAGCCCCACTACTCTGGTCATAGGGCTCAAGATGGATGAAGACCCTCAGTCTCAACAATCAAGCCCACTGCCTGGGCCTCTTTCACCAGCCAGATTTGGGGCAGGGGAAGGAGGAGGCAGGAGAGTGTGCTCCTCATAGCTAAAGCCACTTGATAATAGGCCCAAGACTTCTTTATCTCTAGAGAAAAGAAGGTAGCATGAGACTCTCCCCAGACCATGCCTCCCAGCAGGGCCAGAGAGGACGGCCATTAGCATGGGCCTCAGCGGACAGTGGGGAAGAACAGGCTCCGGAGCACAGCACAATGGCAACAGTTAGAATGCAGCGGGGTGCAGAAGCTGTTTAACTGGGTGACCCCTGAGGTCGCTGCATCTGACTCCCATCCCTGGGTAAATATTGGAGCGGAGGGGAGGGGAGGGTGAGGGAGCCCCCCACACCCTGCCTCCAGTCACACACACCAGGACATTATTCACAGCTCTGACAGGCAGAGCGTCTGCTCTGCTAACTAAGAGGAAGTGGACAAAGTAGGCTGATCTGAAACTGACTAGGCCACTGAAGCAGAGCTCAGGGCTGGTGGGGGATGGAGCTGAGCAACACAGATGCGGGGCTTCCCCGACTCAGGGTCCAGCTGAAGCCGATCCTGTCACCCTCAAACCCCAAAGCACTGATGGGTGGAGCTTGTCTCAACTGCAGAGTGTAAACCAGAGAAAGGAGTGCACTTCCAGCTTTTGGGGCCTCACAACGAAGAACTTCCATATCTCGTCACTACCCATGTGCTGCACAGCAGAGATGGGAGCCTCGGCTACTCACCCCAAGAAAGTGGACCAACCACATGCCACTTGCTGGCCTTGGCTGACTCAATGAGGAAGGTCAAGAGCAAGAAAGTCAGGCATCACAAAAAGGGGTCAGGATTGGGGAGAGAAGAGTGTCTGAGCACAGGCTGCCCCCAGCCCACCAGGCACTGCTCTCCAGTCCTTCCCTAATGCACCCTGGCGTACCTCTGAAGACAGAGCTGTCTGTAGTCATCACTGTTATTTATTAGTAATTATTTCCATGATGTTGCATTGCTGCCTATGAGAAAGAATCCAGAGAAAATGGCCTGTCCAGCTCTCAGGATTCTCTGGGCTGCCTGGCTTTCTTCCCCAAACCAACATCCTCCCAGGCTTTGGAAGAAACAGTCTGACAGCACTATCAAGTCTGAGTCATAGCACCCTTTAGCCAGGAACACTTAGAATTGCTCCTGCCCACTCCAACCTGCCCTTCCTAAAGCCCTACAAAGCTAAGTCCACACACCATTCAGGCATGGGCCACCAGGCGAGCTGACTCTTGAGTTCCCTGGACCTCAACTCCCAAGGCCCTTACTCTCTGGCTTTCTTCGGTGGGGCGTTGGCAGTCTCCAGGGTGCTCTTAGGAACCTGGCAAATGAAACCTACTTCAGACCAAACTGTCATGGAGGAGCCACCCTTTGACACAGATGAGGTAAGGGAGAACATGACGGCAGGGCATCCTCTCTTCTGGAATCCACCGACCTCCACTCGAGAGCTCGGTGGCTCAGGTGCCAGAGCCCTGCTATCCCCACCTGCCCATGCATCTGCGAGGAGTGACCCATGGAGCTGACCTGTCTTCCGCAAGCTGGAGCTGGACAGCATCTGTCTGCACAGGAGAACTAGTGGTTTGCTTTACTACAAGATAATGTCTGCATTAGCCTGGCTGGGGATTGGAGGACAGATTGGCAAGCACTGGAAAAACGGAGGTCACTCACCTTCCCCCAGCAGGCATGGAAAGTTGGAGATTAATTCTCTCCCCTCGCTGAGGCAATCAGACTCCAGGAGAGTGGGAGGGAAGCACCGACACCGAGAGAACCTTTCCCTGCCAAGCGGCAGCAGTGACCACCAACACCGCCTCTATCACTATGAGCAGAAAAGGAAGATAAAGCCCACCAGCCCTGGAGAAGCCTCGTCAAGGTGGCCAGGCCACTGCCACCTAACTTCCGCAGAACCCACCAAACAGAAGAGCCTGGACAAGGACAAGATTTTCTCCAGGATCAGAGTCCAAAAGGCTGAAGACAGTGCCAGCTGCGTGCGCTGCAACACAAACTCCACGAAGGCAGGGTTTTCTCCTTTGCTCACTGCGGTGTCCTCAGAACCTTGACTAGTGGGAGTACACAGCACACAGTCAACACACCTTGGCTGGGAGAAGAAATAAATGAGCCACTGTGGCTCAAAGGCCACTTCCACAGACCTAGTGCCAGCCTCTTCCTACCACAGGACCTTAGACTTCCAGAACAGACAGGGAAGACCACAAGGCCAAAGACTGGAATCTGGTTTTACTGAAGGATGAGTTTGGGCAAGCTACAGCAGCCTAAGGAAGTCCCACCTCAAAATGAACATGCACATACTCATTCAACAAACATGTACTAGCAAGGAAGGTAGATGTTCCAACAACATACAAGCATAAAGGAAAATACAACATAGTGGAATATTGTGCTGAAATTTAAAGGCTAAACTACTGATACATACAGACACGTGGATTAATCTTCCATATATTATTTTGTCCAAAAGAAGTCAAACACAGAAGGGTATATCTTGTATGAGTTCATTTCTACGAAAGACAGCAACAGGCAAAACTGTCCCTTCAACAGAACAAAACTTCTCTGAATGATGTCCTGGATCTTGAGCTAGGCAGTGGTAACAAAGGGATATCCTTAATTTATCACACTATACACTTCACATTTGTATGTTATATATACTCCCTCATACCTATTTCAGACCTCAATATCAAAAACACTGAGGTTCACACAAAGAGTAAAAAGAACCCCAAAACTGATTTACAAAAACATCTCACTGGGCATGCTGGTGTACACCTGTCATCCCAGCCCTCAGCAGGCTGAGGCAGGGCGACTGCTGTGAGCTCAAGGCCAGAATGGGCTGCATGGCAAGACCTTGTCTCAAATACACACATACATACATAAATATGTCACACAAAGGAAAATACTTTCCAGGAGCACCAGGGATTTCTTCTTGGAGCTGGGAAGACAGACCCCTCTAGTTTCACACTCTAATGGCCAAGACCGGACAAAACTAAGATGTTCCAAGTACCAAGGAGTTCAGTCCAGGTCTTCAATCAGAGGGGTGGTACCTAGTTCGAGGCTGCACTGAAGCTCTGCTCCATGCCAGGGAAACGCCAGGGAGGTGGACATGGATCACACAGTCCATCCCAGCTGCTTCTGAGACTGAGTCTGGCTGTCAGATTCTGCCATGAAGCATAGAACCAGATTTCCAAGGACCTTGCTGAACAGCCACAGCATTCAATGGATTCACAGGATTCAATGTGTCTTCCTGACAAGCCAGACAGGGACTGGCTGAGCCAGCCCAAATCTAGGCTAAGGCAAGAGTCCCAGCACATCCAGCCATTCCAGCCAGCAGAGAGGAGGTGATGAGACCCGCACAGATGGCCAAGAGGAGCTCTGTCCATCAAAACCTGGGTGCCAGACTCTAAGCAGCAGTACTTATGGGGAATCAAGCAGTAACAAACCATTTTGCCCCCAGCTCTGTCTCGGGCCTAAGAATGAGGTGATCACCACCTTAACACCTCACAGCCCAATGTATCACTGAGCAAACATCCTTATTGTAATTGATGCTTTAAAAGGGTAAACTTTCCCCTCCAGGTTTCCTGTAGTTACCACAATGAGTTAAACTCTCCGCCCCCTAGCAGGAGTGAGGAGATGAAGTTGGGTTCCAGCCCACAAATGCTCACAAAGAGACTCTGCTGTTCCTCCAGGAACAAAGTCAAATAAAAGCTCAGAGGGAAGTCACCGCGTGAGAGTTTGTTGATCTAGAGTTTGTAGGAACAAAGACTGGGCAGCAGACTAGGGCAGCTGCTTCTGCCCTAGGGACTGTATATAAGGACATTCAAAATCTCTAGCCAAGACCCCAATCAGGAGCCCCTGTACTACCAATTCTAGGCCCCAGGACCCACAGCAGGGGCTTCCTGATGTTTTCCAGCAGACAGGCCCCAGCAGCATCTGGGCTCTCAGGCAAGGAGTGGGAACACCTTTCTCTCTGCCAAGCCTAAGAATTCTCAGCTGGGGGGCGGGGGCTGTCAGGTTAAGGACACTGCCACTGCATCTGAGCATGGCTGTGCTGCACTGGCTGCAGAGGCTCTTCCTTAATTAACAGTATCCCAGGCTCTGCAGGAAGCTTCACTCCACGAGGAATGGCCCTCTCTCAATAGAGACAAGCCTGCCATGAGGTGTTCAGGGTGAGGGCCAGGATTCATTTCCCTGTCTGTGGTTGGAGGATGGGAGGCAGGAAGACGCAGCAGGGAGAGATTTGTGTCCAGTGACTAGGGTTAGCTGCAGCTGAAGCGTGACCCCGTCCACGCAAGCTGCCTTCTTGGGCTAATCCAATGTACCTCTGCTGATCAGAGGGCTCCAGGGAAACTGAAGGGAGGGCACAAGGTCTGGGTCCCACCCTCTCTGAGCTTAGACTATAGCTCTAAGAAACATCTACAATTCTTACACAACCTCCACAACATCCTCTCCTGCCAGCCTCCGGACTGTGTGAGCACTGGTAGCCTGGCTGACACTCATCTGACTCACTGGCCCCCATCTAAAGGACGGAGGCCCTGACCATGGCCTTCAGCTGGCTCCTCTGCCTTCTGTGGCAAGCAGCACCCCCACTCCCTACCTCAGAGAAAGGGTTCACAGACTGGCTTGTGCCTGCAGCTGCTGCTGAATGGAACCCAAGTGTTTTCTGCCACAGGGCACCTTAGATCCCAAGCCAGCCAAAGCAAGAGAAAAAGCAGTCTGGAGGCTGTCATAAAAACATGCCCTCAGCATCACCTCACAGAGGGATCTCTGAGCTGTATTCCACCACCAGTGGAACACTCTTCCTGCCACTCTCCCTGCCACCATCTCACAGGGGTCACAGGAGACTGAGCAGGGAAACAGGGTCTTTCTGACAAAAAAGAAAATGTGAGCCCTCAGCAGTCCGGGTTCTCATGGACTTGGCACAGGCCCAAGAAGGCTGCCGAGCAACCTGCTGGCCACTTGCAGATCTAGAAGCACTATGGGCCAGGCTGGCAGCAGACACAGCACACAGACCTACTCAC